TACGCCTAGTCTTCTTACCTTTTTCCTGTCCACCGGGAGGGCTACCCACAACAGCGTTGAAGCGGGCCTAAGTTGAACGATGTCAACTGCAACCATTGTAGAGCTCTACGCACCTGAACTAGGTTGAGCACTGAGGAGCTTCCTCCAATCCTGAGCAGGCCGCGATCGAAGAGTCTGGTCAGCATAGGCGAACAGAGCTGAAATATGCCTAGACGCATATGAATGACCGCGCGCCACAAAACTCTCCGAATAGCAAAGTAATAGGTGTTGTGATCTCTAGCTCTAATACGGCGTTCGACAAGCCCTAAAACCACTATCGATTGGGCCTTTATCAGCACCAACAGCCGAGCAAAGGGACGGAACAGTCACTGATGCGCACGTGTGTACGCGTGCCAATTTCCATACCACTCCAATCACAAATTAAAGAACTCGGCACCTCTTCCACGACGTAACATACGTTATGGTGAATACGGATAACAGGAACAGTAACGTATATCCTCAGTGCTTCCATATTTTAACAACCTTATCGCGACCAGCGCTGACCACTCGGGCACCATCTCCACTCCAGTCCACCGCGAAGACCTCATCAGCGTGACCGGGCAGGTCCTCCTTCAGCTTCCTCTTGCCGGCATCCCAGACCTGACCACAACAGCATCGTGCTGGTCATACGATACGCCCAGTTCCCCATTGTGTTGGAGGAATATATCCTCGCTTTCCTCAGCTGAGCGAACGAATTTCCGAGGCTGATATTAGAACAGGAGTGTACAGAAACCCACAAGAATTCCCAAAATTTTTCATATTCTCGATCACACATGTAGTTGACCATGAGCATATTCCCCCCATTGACCCCCTCACCTTCACAGTAGAATCCTTAGAGCCAGAAACAAGCATACGACTATCGGCTGACCATGACACCATGTAAACATCAGCAACATGACCACGTAGAGCACAGATGAACCTACAGTGGGAAGTGCCAAGGCCAGGGTGGCAGAGCTTAGAGTACTACTTTCCTGTTACGCCGTCCCACAGGCGCACGGACTTGTCGAAACTAGCGCTGGCGATCATACGGCCATCAGGACTGAACTGGACATTATTCACCACCTTCTGATGACCCGTTAAACGACATAAGGGTTTCTTGCCTGAACATGGTGACCAATTTCGTGGCGCGTGACGAAAATCGACACCAACACTTACTGTCCATACTCCAGAGAAACATTGTGAAATCATCACTACCCGATAGGATCCTCTCACCCACAC